TACTTAGCGGTGGAAGGGATTTGTTCCTTTTTTCTACACCCGGATTCAAATCTTATTATGCATGGCTATCGCCTCGCAGTGCCTTACATGCTCACTGGTCTTGTAGGATGTTTATGCATGGTTGTCGCCTCGTGGTGCTTTACATACTCACTGGGCTTGTAGGATGTTTGATGGGTTATGGGATTAATCGCTTGTAGGATGTTTGATGGGTTATGAGATTAGTCGTAATGCACGCAAGTTAATCCGGACATCTATATAAATAAAAAAATATTAAAATTGCTAGGATTTTTCAAAGCCTGAAATCCACCCTATCTCCGAGTTTTAATTACTTTAAACTAATAAAATTAAAAATTAATTAAGTAATGAATATTTATCTCCGTGCCTAAAGATCCAAATTTTTTAAGTGATTACAGCAACTCGCAAAGTCCAAACTCAAGTTTTAGATATCATGTGATAATGTGACTTACTACATAATAGACTGATATAAAACATAGCTTTAAAATAAGTTTTATATTTCTTTTATTTTTATTTTTATTTTTATTATCTCGTCACAATGATGCTATGATCGTATGGATAAGGTTCAAATCTCGTAACGTTTGGTTTTGCTTTACGTAACAGAAGATTCCATTGATACATGGTCCCTTGTTTAAAAGCTGCCTCCTGCATGCAATCGGGTATCAACTTTTCCCCGTTCCCACCATTCCTATGTTAGAAGTTTCACGTGAATACATACGTGTGGTAATTATTTTTTAAAATATTTTTATTTTAAAAAATTAATTTTTATTTTTACAAATTAATTTTTGATATAAAAATATTAAAATAATTGAAAACAGAAAATTTTAAATTTGAACAAAGGTTAAAATTCATTTTCAAACAACCCTCTTCGAAGGAAACCTTCATGTATTATTTTTTTTATGGGTTTTAAAGACTATAAAGGCAAATAGCTTAAAGTGATGTATTATAAAAAGAAGCGTGAGGGAAAAAAGAAAAAAAGGTATTTACAGGCTATGGTGTGTTCATATTTTATCCTAAGAACTTGTTCAACTTTTCGTGCGTCTACATTCCACTTATAATAATAGTTTATATACAAATTCATATAGTTTTTAGGAGTCACCTATAGTTGCATTTGATTGATGTAATATGAATTATGATTAGGATATTTTTTCACTCTCTCTACACTTTTCTCCACACACATACAAATATATAATTTTTTTTTTTTTAAATCATGCATAAGGCTATCCAATCAATCCAAAAAAAAAAATCATGCATAAGGCTATCCAATCAATCCACTCAATACACATGAATTACATCATGAAATAGAAATAAACCAACAAAAAAAATACAAAATTTATTTTAAAAAACAAAACCAATATCAAATTATGAAATGAAAAAAAAACAAGTAAAAAAAATTATATCAACACTTATTAGCTTATAGAAATAATATTTCTAACCATTTGATTAGAAGTATTAAATATAAAAAAATCATAAAGATTAATTCTTAACAAATTAAATATCAAAAAATAATATTAAAAATAAATTAATAAAACTTCAAATTGAGTTTACTAGGGACTGGACTCAACAATGTTTTTTTTTATTATTTCTTAAGAATATAGATCTTATAATGTCAAGGGAAAAAAATGACACCCGATCAATGCTTAAGTTTTTATATATATAAAAAATAATTTTATTGATATAAAGTAATTAAGGATTAAGAGACTTGATTTGAATCTAAAATAACATAAAAGGTGAATAGAATATGATAAAAAAAAACTAACATGTGTAATGCATGCACCAACATATAAAAAAATTTGTTGTTTCCTCTGGCATTGCATTATAGCCTCATCTGGTGTTTATGATATTTTTTTAATGGTGTAGCCTATGTCGTACACGAAGATGGATGGTAGTTAATTTTTAATTTTTCTTGTCTCTTTGCTTTTTTTTTTCTTTTTTTCTTGGTCTCTTTCTTTGTCCTTTCTAAAATAGTATGAATTTTTACTAAAATCTTATATTAAATTTTATTTTTATTTTTTTAATTGTAATTAAATTTATTAAAAATTAAAATTTATATTTTTTTTCAATTTATTATTTATTGAATAATCTTAATCTTATGATTTAAGTTATTGGTTTGAAATTTTAGTTTATATTACTTTGATCTGTTTTGGGTTATTTTTTAAAATTAATATTTTTTTAATTTTATCTTTGAATATTTAATGGGATGAGAATTTAAATTTATTATTTTTTTTATTTTTTTTATAAAAAATTATTTCAATCTCATAAATTTATTTATAAATATGAAAAATTTAACTGATTTCTCCTTGTGTTTTTTAAATTAGGTTTTTTAAAATTTTATTATCCAACAAACTGTACGGACATTCACCTTAATTAATAATAATAAAAAAGCGAGGAAAGGAAGCATGTCCAGCGAGAATGTCCCGAAGGCTCTTGGAGATGACAACTTGCATGTAAGCACGATGACGCGGCCTTACTACTCCTATGATTTGATGCCACATTGAACTCACTTGGATTCTGTAAATATTATAATTATAATAACTGTGTACTTACATAATTATTTTTTTTATTTACACGGAGTATTCGGGTTAGCTTGCGCGTATCACAACTAATCTTCATAGCTCACTGAATATCTTGTAAATCCAATAAACATGTAAGGCACCGCAAGGATAACAGACATACACACAGAGTTCGAATCTAGATATAGTGAAAGGAAACAAGTCCCTTTTACCGCTAGGTCAATCCCTAAAATACACATAATTATTATTATGGTTACTCATGGATGTCAGAATGTTCTTTTTCCACACTAATTTCTTTTTTTTCATCATTGATGTCTTTTTTTCTTCTTCTAATTTTCGGTTAGTGTTTCAAAATAAATAATGAGAATTTAAATTTATTAATTTTTTTAAAAAAAATTATTTCAACCTCATAAATTTATTTATAAATATGAAAAATTTAACTGATTTCTCCTTGTGTTTTTTAAATTAGGTTTTTTAAAATTTTATTATCCAACAAACTGTACGGACATTCACCTTAATTAATAATAATAAAAAAGCGAGGAAAGGAAGCATGTCCAGCGAGAATGTCCCGAAGGCTCTTGGAGATGACAACTTGCATGTAAGCACGATGACGCGGCCTTACTACTCCTATGATTTGATGCCACATTGAACTCACTTGGATTCTGTAAATATTATAATTATAATAACTGTGTACTTACATAATTATTTTTTTTATTTACATGAAGTATTCGGGTTAGCTTACGCGTATCACGACTAATCTCCATAGCTCACTGAATATCTTGTAAACCCAGTAAACATGTAAGACACCGCAAGGATAACAAACGTACATACCAGAGTTCGAACCTAGATACAATGAAAGAAAACAAGTCCTTTTTACCGCTAGACCAATCCCTAAAATACACATAATTATTATTATGGTTACTCATGGATGTCGGAATGTTCTTTTTCCACACTAATTTCTTTTTTTTCATCATTGATGTCTTTTTTTTTTAATTTTCGGTTAGTGTTTCAAAATAAATAAAATATTTTAAAAAATGAAATAAATATTTTTTTAAAATATTTTTTTTTATATTTTTTCTACTTTTACTGTCTTTATATTCCAGACATTAATCAGGGAAAATCATGGTGTGATGATCTTGATAAGGTTAGTTTTATAGCGTTGGAAGCCCAGAAAAATGTGATGCACGTTTGGTTTTGCTTTGTGTACCAAAGGATTCCATTAATAAATGGTCCCTTATAGTATTATATGGAACCTGAGGATAGATTTCCGACAGGTCAGTTGCCGGCTCCCACCATTGATTCCTTTGAAGGAAACCTTCATATATTATCCTTTTCCCCTTTTTTCAAAAGATTTACTTTACATCATGAATAATTTATAAGTTAATGCCACTTTATATCCTCGTCCTGTCACATAAAAAAATTAATAAAAAATATCGTATTGTTTATAGGATTATATTTCTTACTAATTAGTTTTTATGTTAAATATTACATCTTTGCTATGAAATTAAAAAAAAAACCCTACACACCACCTTTACTTTTAAGGAAGGCTTGGGTTTTTTTTTTAAAAAAAATCATTCCTTTTTTTTAAATTTGAATTTTAACTCATTTTTTAGATTACTTACTTTAACCTTTCTTTAAATATTAATTGGTCTTTTAAATTGTTTCTATAGTCTCATGATAGATTATTTTCATTTATCTTTAAATATTTATCATTAAAAATTAAAATAGATAATAAGTAGTATTTGCATGATTTATTTATAAGAATCATATGTATGCTTAGTGAGAAGAATTAACCTCAAATATAAATAAAAAAATAAATAAAATAAAAATAATAAGCAAGATAAAGAATTTACATGTGCATCTATTTTTAAATTCACTATTTAATCATGATCTATAGCTCTTCATCGATCCACCATTTCTTATACTTTTCAATCTATTTTATAAAATATAAATATTATTTTTCTATATTTTTTATTATACCAAAATAAAAACTACAATCTAATTACTAACTACAATATAATTAAAATAATGGGAATACATAAAATTAGTTCTAGAAAACCTCTCATAGAGTTAATAATCTGTCAAACAAACAAAAACGGCTTGGAGTAAATACAAACCAAAACAAAAAAATAAAATAAAATCCAATCCTTCTTTCAAATTCGTATTTTTTTAATTTATTATTATTATTACCATCATCTTCTTTATTGTTTCTTCACTTCCACCTCGTCGCGTCTCACCGGACAGACAAACAAACAACCTGTAAAATCAATCGTCAAACCCCACACAAAACAAAATCAGTAACCAAAAAAAAAAAAAAAAAAC